CCCCCTCCCCTCCAGCCCCCAGAATATACTCTATGTTTTCGCCATTGACTTCAGTGGCCCATAGGATATAATGGGGCCGAATTGCTGCAGAAATCGGCCCCCAGCAGCCCGAAAGGGGCCCGAATGGTCCATTTTCGGGGGTGCATTTGGTTCAGACAAACCGAATGCACATTCCAGGGCTATTTTTGGGCAGGAACGCACAGGAACGGAGTTCTGGCTGGCTCCTGAGTTGGCCACGCCCAGCAGGAACTCATTAGCATAATAGGCCACACCCAACAGCAGAAATTCATTAGGATTGGCTACATTAGGGGTGTGAGGCCTAACATGCAAAGGGGTTCCTGCTACAAAAGAAGCCCTGGGTTTTGACAACAAACAAGGTAAACAGAATAACAAGCAAAAGGTGGGTGTGGCTGGATAACCACACTTCTGGTAACATGGGGGTGCGGCCTAATATGCTAATAAGTGGTGCTGTCAGGGGTGTAGCCCAATATGCTAATGAGTTTCTGCTATTGGGTGTGGCCTATTATGCTAATGAGTTCCTGCTGGGCTTTTTCTACAAAAAGAGCCCTGCTCATTCCTAGTGCTGGTGTTGGGAAAGACCCTGAAAATGGCAGCGAGTCAGCATGGGGCTGGGCAAACCAAGGCTCTGACTCAGAACAAGACTGCTGGGGTGGGGTGACTGGTGGCTCGTGTGCTGGTGTGCCCCTCCTCCCTACCCCGCAGATCCATCCCCAGCCTTGGGTTCACTCCAGGCTCCCTTGTCATTTCCCAAATGTTCGCCTCGGCGTAGGCATAAGCTCATAAACCATAACCGATATGAAAAAGAGAACAAAATGGGGGGATGGACATATCGACATCCTAAAAGGGGAGGACCAACCTCATACGTATCTGTGGTGTGTATTGGAGAGCAAGTGAAAGGAAGCAAAAAACCCCCAAAAAACAAAATAAAAGTGTTCTGTATTGAACTAATTTGCAAGTAGCTGCAAGTCTGGCCTCCAGTGGGTAAGAATGACAAACAATCTGTACTTTTGTTTTGGTCTTCCGGTAAGATTGGGGGGGGGGAGCAAGAACACTTTCTTTTCCTGGGGCTGGTAACTTTTGTGGCCTTCTCGGTACGTCTGGCATCAGTTGGGCGTGCTCTTGAATGTTGCAACTCTGCCTTTTCGCTTTGAAAAACACTCTTTGGATCCCACTTCTGTGTGCTTGTGACCGTTACTTGCTTCCTGCTAAACTTACAGGATTTGCAACCATTCCTTTTGTGTCAATTGCTTTAAAAATGACATAACCCTAACCCAAGGAAAAACCAGCAGGGACATCAGCAGAGAAAAGAGGTGAAATGAAACGGCTGATGCAGGTCTACCAAAAAGAAGAAGAAATTCAAAGTCGGGAAGGGTCCTTGCATCCCACATTTCAGCCGGCTGGACGGCACAGCATTTGCAGGACTAACGGTGTGTTGAGAATTCAGTGCCATCCTGTTACCTAATTACATAATTTGAGAAGGAGTCAACATTTCACAGGCTTTTTGGGTAGGACGGGGAAGATACCATTAATCCCATATGTGTAGATGGAAATGAAGCATGGGAAAAGGAAAGGGGCTGAAACCCACACAGTGCTACAGATGCGGAGAGAGCTTGTAAACCCGTGGGGCGGGGGGAATGGCCGAAAACATTGTGACAGGTGGAAATAGCGCGGCCTTTTTGCATCTATCTCTGCGCTTCCTGCGGGAGCCCTTGGTGGGGCGTGTCTTCACATCCTCGCATCTGCCAGCTGGATGACTTTTGAAACCAGGTGAAAAGGCACCGGGATGGATCTTGTTTATCTGGTTAGGAGGTGGGAAAGTGGAAACTGGGGGAGCACGCCTGCTCCCTGCCTGCCAGAGCGACTCTGGAAAGCGGAGTGGAGAGGAATCTGGTCGGTCCTATCCTCTTATGGCTTCATGACAGAAGAAATCTCCTTGCTGGATTGGGTGAGAGGTAATTTGGAGGTTCCAACTTATTGCATCCGAGGACTTTCAGCTGATCTTGTCTCCGAATGCTGCCTGAACATAGCTGCTGGGTTGGGGGAAGCAGGAAACGGACTCCTCTGAAGCACCGGTGCTGACCCCCCCCCCAACCTGTTGCTCATCTTTTTGTGGCCCCCAGGCCAGACGATGCTCTTCGGAATGTCATTCGAAAGTGTCTTTGACTTGTTTTTCTGGCCTGTCTCCATAGCTACGGAAAAACACCGTATATAGCCAGGACTTGGGATCTGTCAAAATTCTCCTTGGTGGGGTGGGGTGGCTCTTCATTCCCCGCCCCAACTGCTGCACCAGAGTCCATTGTCCCTGGACAGGATTTCTTGCTGTCTGTATGTGTTTACTCCTTCACCCGGTGACGCAAGGCAGGGTGTGAGCTTGCCAGAGAGCCAGGCAGGGTTCAGCTCGGGTATAAAGCCACGCCGTGGTTAGCTTCATTCATTCACCACCCAGTCAACAGGTGCCTTTCTGTATACATACCTGGGAAATTTGTACCGCGTCTTCCCAGGTGTGCTGTCTGCACAATGCCGAGACCGCAGTATCTCATCCCAGGCCTTGCGGTGGTGATGGCCCTGCTCTCCATGGTGGACCCCAGGCCATCAGGGGGCCGTGCGTCTCAGCTGCAACTGGAGGCCATCAAGCAAAGCCTCTTGGAGCGGCTGGGCCTGGAGAGGCCTCCGGTGGTCCGGCAGCCTCTGGATCAGGATGGGCTCCAGAGGGCGCATCAAGTCTATCGGGAGATGCTGGCTCAGTTCAGAGCAAACCGGACCGCGGCAGAGCTGGGAACAACTGTTCACCTCCTAAGGCCGAAATGTAAGTGATAATTACTGTGGGATTGCCTCCCGCCTTGAGTTTATACGGGCCTTTTCCTTTTGCATGTCAGGTTAGGATCTAGGTTCAAATCCTCACTCTGCTCTGGATGCTCACTGAGTGGCCTTGGACCAGTCACACGCTCCCAGGGCGATGGCGATGAGAAGAAAGTGCAGGAGAGAATTATGGTGGAAGCCACTGTGGGTCCACACTGGAGGAAAAAGGTGGGGTTTAAATATCTGAAAGAAATAGAATACCGAGGTGGGGAGGAGCATCTCCTTGTCTGCTTCAAGAAGGGGGGTTGTGAAGGCATAGGGAACACCACAAACCTGAGCTTCTTCGACAGCCGTTCCCTCCCCAGAGGAGCTTCGGAGCTGCTCCATTGTGGCCCAGATGGGTTGAAGCATCAGGATCATTTTGGCATCTTGGAATTCAAAAGTTCTTCTGTCTGTTTCTCAAGCTGGCTTCTCCGTTTGGGCTGTCCCAGCAGAGGAGAACATCCCTGCTGGGTCAGACCAACAGTCCATCAAGTCCAGCATCCTGTATCCCTCGGTGGCCAATCAGGTAACCCCCGAAAGCCCACAAGCAGGGCCAGAGCTTTCCCTGGTTGTTGCTCTGCCCCTGGAACTAGCATCCAGAGGTAGACTATGCCTGGAACATGGAAGTTCCGCTTAGCCATTTATTCTTATAAATATGTCTACCTGTCTCTCCCACCATCAAATAGTGGTTTGAGACAGCTTAAAAATGAAAGCTTATACCCTTGCTGAGCCACCTAAGAAAGCACAATCAGGACAAAAACTGACTGAATGAACACCCTCCCTTATTCACCAGTCACCTGAAGCAAGTGGGCTCTGGAACTTTGCCTGTGGTGAGAATCCTCCTTACCGCCTCTTGGAGACCGTTGCCCCCTTGGGTGCTGGCTGGATCATGGATTGGACTGGTTCCCTTTTACACAGCTAACTGCACTACATCCTCTGATAGGGAGTTCTGCAAGGCAATTACGTGCTGTACGAAGAAGCACTTTCTTTAGTGTCTGTCCTATATCTACTGCCCATCAGTTTCACGGGATAACCCTGAACTCTGTTTACAGGAGAGAAAGTGCTCCATTTCCAACCCAGGGATAATTGCATTACTCTGCCATTGAGTCATCATCTTTGTAGACTAAAAAGCCACAAGCGCCTTAATCTGTCCTCCAGCTCCTGGTTTATTCGAGTGCTCTTTTCTACAACTGGTCCAACTCTTCAATTATCCTTTTTTTTTTAAACCAGTACCACAGTGTATTCCAAATGTGTCACTCAGCACTACACATTTTATTAATATTTTTACAAGTTTGAGTCCAGTGACACTTTTAAGACCAGCAAAGTTTAATTCTGGATACAAAGGGTGCGTGCCCACAAAAGCTTATCCCCAGAATTAAACTTTGTTGGTCTTAAAGGTGCCACTGGACTCAAACCTTGTTCCTTTGCTTCAGACCAACATGACTACCCTCTTGAATTTGTTAATATTTTTATGTGGTTAGGAGATGTCTCTGGTTAAGGTTGTCCCCAACCCAAAAATGACAGAATAAGTCAAATTGGACCAGGGCAGCTGGCTGTTTGGTTGATCTCCCAATGATTCCTACAGGCTGCATACTGAACTGACTTTTTCACTGAGCTATCCAGTTGATCATCACTTGCTCCTAATGGATCAAGAACAGACTGCTGGGCTATAAGGTCGTCTCACTTCCTGGATCCCCCAGGAATTTTTTTTTTTTGCCTTAATGTTTCCAACAGTCTGTTCATCCTTAAATTCTTATTTTGCTCACAGTATTGCCAGAGCTTCTACACTCCTCTACATTTGGACAAAGCTTTACTTTTTCAGGAAAGCATCTTCCCTGTCACAGCTTCCTTGGTTTTGCCTCTTAACCACACTGGCATCCTCCAATATTCCCCTGTTAGGCACTCTGTCTGAACTTCTGTTACTATAGATTTAAATAGTTTCCAAGCATCTGGAAGGTATTTGACCCTGTTCGCTTCCCCTTTTAACTTCCTTTAAACGAATCCCCTGAGAGGAGGGGGGGGTGTCATTGGGGTTTATTGACCTTGTTGGTTTTAAATTGGAATGGTTTGTTAGCCGCCCTGAGCCACAAAGAAAAGAAAAGAAGAAGAGCTGGTTTTTATACCCTGCTCTTCACTACCCGAAGGAGTCTTCCTCTCCTTCCTCTCCCCACAACAGACACCCTGTGAGGCAGGTGGGGCTGAGAGAGTTCTGAGGAAACTGTGACTGGCCCAGGGTCACCCAGCCGGCTGCATGTGAAGGAGGAGTGAGGAAGCAAACCTGGTTCTCCAGATTAGAGTTCGGCGCCCCTAACCACTACATCAAAAGCAGAGGGTATAAAAATGTTAACTAACTTTGAGAAGTTTCCAGTGTCCTATACAGGGTGATTTATTTATTTACTTACTTCATTTATACCCCACCTTTCTCCACAACAGGGACCCAAAGTGGCTGACATTGTATCATTCCCCTTGCCTCCACTGTATCCTCACAACAACAAGCTTGAGAGGTAGATTCAGGTGGGTCTCAGTGTTGGTCTGAAGCAGCAGAACAAAGTTTGAGTCCAGTCAGGCACCTTGAAGATCAACAAAGTTTAATTCTGGGCATAAAGTTTTCGTGTGCACACTGACTTCCTCAGATCCAGTCTTCTGAAGAAGACGTGTGCACAGACACAAAAACCTTATACTTTGGATAAAACTTGGTTGGTCTTCAAGGTGCCTGACTGGACCTAGACGTTGTTCTTGTGAGGTAGGTTAGGCTGAGAGAGTGTGAATGGCCCGAGGTCACCCACCGAACTTCCATGGCGCAAGTGGGGATTTTAACCTGGCTCTTCCAGATACTAGCCTGATGCTCTAAACACTACACCACTCTGGCTCTCCAAAAACTAATTTTGCTTAACTTGAGCAAAGGGTGGGAAAGGGATTAATAAACTAAGATGATACAAATATTAAAACTAATAATTCAATCATGTTTTTGAAAGAAAGCTAGGTATTTTTCACATAGAATTCCCAGGACACTCATCAGACTATAGTTCCCAGAAGCCTTTTGGGGAAGCCATAACAGTGCATCCATAAGATGTCAATCTGCTGTTCTTCAAGGCGTTCACTTTGTTTATGTTCTTTCAGTGTCCTGGAGCAGCTTGGTGTAGGGTAGGTGGGGCTGGGTTGCATAAAGACTACCTTGTTGAATAAGACCAAACTTCATCTCTGCCCCCTCCTCTCTCTCTCCCTCAAGTGAAACATGTGGCTGAAGGTCCACCTGGACGTTTGGAGGCCCCAGGGCACTTCTACACTTTGGAACTCCCCAGGACAGCATCACTCCACCAGAACCTCCTTGTTCTCAGGGCTGAGCTGCAACTCTTCAAGGAGGCCCTCAACTGGCCTGACATCTCCAGATCCAACTCCACCTGGGCCACACGTGTCAACATCTACAAACTGGTGGACGGGGAGAGCCTGGCCCCCAAACTCCTGGCCTCCTATGTTCTCTCAAGAACCTCCCTGACCCTTGACCTCAGAGACCCTGTGGATCACTGGATGGCAGGCCCTGAGCAAAGACTTCTTCTGGGGCTGGAGTTCTCTGCTGATGTGTCCCCCTTGCTGGCCACCACCACGACTGCGGAAGGAACTGAGGCGCTGTCCCTGGAGGTGGCGACCCAGGAGCATGTGCGGGTGAGGAAGGCACGGCAACTGAATGAGGAGTGCGGCAAGGGTGACGGGAAATGCTGTCTGCGGTCCCTGAAGGTCTCCTTTGAGGACATTGGGTGGTCTGACTGGGTGGTGGCCCCCAGCAGCTACTCCATGAAGTTCTGTGAAGGCTCTTGCCCCCAAAACTACAAGCCGGCCAGCATCCATGCCCAGATTAAGTACCGGCTCCACAGCCTCTCTGGGGAGACCCCAGCACCGTGTTGTGTCCCAGCTGCATACGAGCCAATGGTGGTTATGCATTTTGGCACTGAAGGGAAGCTGGTCACCCAGTTGTTCCAGGACATGATTGTCACACGGTGCCACTGTGCGTGAAGATGAGGAGGACTTTTGGGAAGGCACCTCTCATCTGCTCAAGGCAGGGACAGTAGGCCACAAAGGCCTCCTTCTTGGACGGAGGTCATGCCTAGGGCTGCACCGTGGTGGCAGAGGGCCGCCGTGTTGGTGGTCTGGCAGTAGAATATAGTTACAAGAATGGGCACAGTGATGAGACAAATGAAAAACGGAAAAGAACTGTGACAATTTAGCGCTTAATAATATATTCATAAATCATAATATACAATAACAGAAATATAAATAGTGAATGTAGTAGACGATGGTCTCCGGAATGATGTGCCATTTAGAAAATGATCTTCTTCTGAACACGGAGGTGTACCTTATCAAATATAACAATACAAATCTCATTTAAAAACTATATCTAACAGTGTATAAATATATAATGTGAACAAAACAGACTAGCAGGATATAGAATCCACTTGCTAAGACATTCAGCAACCATAGCCCATTGAAGAACATAGCTGTAAGCATAGCTTTATGATGAAGTGGTGAGTGTCTTTATTATATACTTTAATATTAACAATCATGTATGTGGAGTATTAATGAATAATAATGAAAGTGTACTGTAACAGCTGCTGTTGTACTTTTTAGAATCAACAGTATATTGTCAATACGTCGCCAAGAGAAATGAATTGTTGAAGGACAGTTTATGTAAGGTTTCATACTATTTTTATTCTTATCTACATTATATATTTATACACTGTTAGATATAGTTTTCAAATGAGATCTGTATTGTTATATTTGATAAGGTACACCTCCGTGTTCAGAAGATGATCATTTTCGAAACGGCACATCATTCCGGAGACTACATTCACTATTTATATTTCTGTTATTGTATATTATGATTTATGAATATATTATTAAGCGCTAAATTGTCACAGTTCTTTTCCGTTTTTCATCTGGCAGTAGAACAGCCAGGCTCAAGTCTAGGGGGCACCTTAGAGACCAATCAGCTTTCAGCTCCTATCCTGAAAATCCTGTCAGTCTCTAAGGCTGGTTTGTTGGTCTCTATCTTGTTGGTCTCTAAGGTGCTGCCGGACTCAGATCTAACCTTATCGGTGTGCTTTTGGGGAGGGTCTATGTGTGCATGCTGCCTCTGTCGCCATTGGTCAAGGGCTGTTTACTGCCCTGCCGGCAGCTCCTTCAAATCCATTTGGATTAAAACTGGATTCATTTCTCCCTAGGATGTGATGCCAGGCAATCAGGGATCACATTGCCGGCAGTGTGATGTCACAATGCCAGAATGCTCTCACAGGACCAAATCTGGCAGGGTTATTCGAAGATGTCCAATGCAAATAGAACTTTCCCCAGTTTTCTGGGCACAAGGTCACTTTGAGGGAAGAGGCTGGTAGATGGGGCTGCGTCCCCTCGTTGCTTTTGCCCCCTTCTTGTCTTGAGTTATGAGCACTTTATATCCTGAAAGGCCTATATTTATTAGCAATCATTTAATACTATTCTGTGGCCCTTTTGATGTGCATATTGCAAATGGGTCTGCAGGGTGGGGGCGTGCCTCGTCCTTCCGTCCATACGCCTGTGGAAACCCCTGAACTTTTTGTTTCAAATGTTTTTATCCTGTCCTCTTATTTATTGCTAAGTTATTGTTTGCACTGATGGTGTTCTTGTTGTTGACATTATTTATGAGGGATCCAATAAAGTCCTTAAACCTGAAGACCAGCTCTAACCTGGGGTATTTGTTCTTAGAATCATAGAATCATAGAGTTGGAAGACACCTCCAGGGACATCTAGTCCAACACCCTGCACAATGCAGGAAACTCACAAATACCTCCCCCCCACACACACCCAGTGACCAGTGTCCCCTCTAAGATGAGTTAGTGTGAGCTAGCTCACAGTTTTTCAGCCTCCGGCTCACACATTTTTGTCTTCGCTCAGGAAGGATGGCTCCAGAGCAAACAAATTTATGTAGTAGTCAAATCACTTGCTCACAGTTTTTATGCCAGTAGCTCACAAAGTAGAATTTTTGCTCACGAGCCTCCACAGCTTAGAGGGAACATTGCCAGTGACCCCTGTTCCATGCCCAGAAGATGGCACAGAAAACCTCCAGGATCCCTGTCCAAACTGGCCTGGAGAAAAATTGCTTCCTGACCCCAACATGGCGATCAGCATTTCCGTGGGCATGTAAGAAAGGGCCACAAGAACTAAGCACTGAGGCAACCCTTCCTGCCCTCCCTCTCATGATCTGCCTAAGTTCACACAATCAGCATTGCTGTCAGATGGCCACCTAGCCTCTGTTGAAAACCTCCAAAGAAGGAGAGCCCACCACTTCCCGAGGAAGCCTGTTCCACTGAGGAACTGCTCTAACTGTCAGGAAATTCTTCCTAATGTTTAGCCGAAAACCTGTCTGTTTGAATTTCAACTCATTGGTTCTGGGAGACTGATTGAATTTCAACTCTAATCTGGGAGAACCGGGTTTGATTCCCCACTCCTCCACTTGCACCTGGCTGGATGACCTTGGGCAAGCCGTAGTTCTGATAAAAGCTGTTCTTGAAAAAGAGCAGTTTCTGTCAGAGCTCTCTCAGCCCCACCTCACAGGGTGTCTGTTGTGGGGACGGGAAGGGAAAGGAGTTTGTAAGCCACTCTGAGACACCTTTGGGTAGTGAAGGGCGGGGGATAATTCCAATCTCTTCTTCTTCTACAATTACGTATTTTATTTTTCTCACCCTAAATGCAGAACTTTACATTTATCCCCATTGAAATTAATTTTATTTGTTTTAGCCTTCTTCTGAAGAGGGAATCTCCCAAGCGAAGTGTCCTACTCTGAAAGCTTTGAGGATGGGTGGAATAGTGTGGTGTGTGTAGCAATTAGCAGAAGGCCAGACATCAGGGGACCTGGGTTCAGATTCCTTGGGTCAATCACCCTCTCCCAGCCTAATTTGTAGAGGAGTTGTGAGGGTAAAACAGAGGTGGGGAGAACCACCCCTTTTCCCCTGAGCTCTTTAGAGGGAGGGGTGAGGTGGGGAAATGCCCCTGGGAAACAGTGCTACAAGCAGCTGGCTACTTCAATATCAATTATAATGAACCTTTACATAGTGTGGTTCTTGCTCTACAGCTCTACAGCTCTACAGCTCTACAGCATGGCTTTCTGCCCTGACCTGGATGGACCGAACTAGTGTGATCCCGTCAGCTCTGGGAAGCTCAGCAGAGCCTGTCCTGGCCAGTTCTTAGATGGGAGACCACCAAGGAAGACCATCACCACCACCCAGAGGCAGGCAATGTCACACCCCCTCCATTAGTCCCTTGCCTTTAGATATCTTATGGGTGTCAGCAGGGCTATTTTTGGGCAGGAACGCACAGGAACGGAGTTCCGGCTGGCTTCAGAGTTGGCCACGCCCACTACAGCCAAAACCTCTGCAAGCCAAGGAAGGCATGGGGTGTGGCCTAATATGCTAATGAGTTTCCGCTGTTGGGTGTGGCCTATTATGCTAATGAGTCCCTGCTGGGCGTCAGCTCTGGGAAGCTCAGCAGAGCCTGTCCTGGCCAGTTCTTAGATGGGAGACCACCAAGGAAGACCATCACCACCACCCAGAGGCAGGCAATGTCACACCCCCTCCATTAGTCCCTTGCCTTTAGATATCTTATGGGTGTCAGCAGGGCTATTTTTGGGCAGGAACGCACAGGAACGGAGTTCCGGCTGGCTTCAGAGTTGGCCACGCCCACTACAGCCAAAACCTCTGCAAGCCAAGGAAGGCATGGGGTGTGGCCTAATATGCTAATGAGTTTCCGCTGTTGGGTGTGGCCTATTATGCTAATGAGTCCCTGCTGGGCTTTTTCTACAAAAAAGGCCCTGGGTGTCAGATTCTTGATTACAGTTACTCTCAACAACACTCTCTGGCAGTTATTTGTTTATTGAGGAATAAAGATGTTTCAAGCTAAGACATCCGTGTCAGAACTAAAGTTCTGGCGCCAAGGCCCAAAGTTATACAAAGTTCAAACAAAGCTCCCCCCTTGGTCCAGTCCAGTCATAACCCACATTCAGCTCACCTGGATTTCGCGCGTTCCAGCTCCCGCCTGTGAGTCTACCGTTACTTCATCTCTTGCTGTGGAGCAAGTACAGACAGCAGTCAAGGTCATCGCTTGAACATCCCGGGGGAAGGGAGGCAACTTAGGGAGAGTTACGCAGCCACTACGATAAAGCCATTCTCACACACATCCACTCACCACACCCCTCTATAGAATTCCAGTGCCTGCTTGAGGCCCCTTAACAAATGAAATGAAAATCATGGCAAACGAGACGCCGAGATTGACAATGGGGTCACCATGAGTGGGCTGCGACTTGACCACACTTCCCACCACCACTTGCTGTCAGCATAGTCGTTATCACAACAAAATACGTTAAAAGCACACATGATCCCCACAACCTGGTAATTTCATTTTATAATCCCCACATTGTGGGTGGGTCACAAGTGAGAGAAAAGGGAATGAATAAACTCATTTCAGAAGGCAAAATGCAAATGCAGCGTGTTGTGAGGCACTTTACTTTGTGCAAGGGGGCAGGGGGTTGTTTCAGGTTCCCCAGCACCACCTACTCGGAGTGGCAGAGAGAGAGATATATATATAGAGAGAACTGATTTTGATGCCACGAACTTCTATTCGTAGTGCTTCCCAGAGGCCTGTGTTTCAAAGGAGATTTGAATAAGGAAGCCCAAACTCAAAATAAGGTTTGGACCCCCACACTTCATACATCCCCATGTTCAGTGGACTCTCCCCTTCGAGGGGACAAATGCTGTGTCCTGGTCCAAAGCATGGTTTTTGTGCCAGCTGCTCCAAAGTACAGTGCCCCCATGACAATCACACAGGCAGAAAGTGGGGCCAGGCTGCACCCAAAAACAATCTTTGGACCAACCCAAATGACACATCACCACACTCTGGGAACTGTCCCCTGCACAGAGACATACGGCAGTACCTGGTCCAAACACTGGTTCTGCCCCCCCCCCACTTCTATTTGGAGATTCTATTTCTAA